AGAAACCTGAGATAGCAGAGTAATGCACTGCAGCATGTCATAACTTACTACCCAGAGACAAAGATACTCACAGAGGTGTGTAAGAACTTTCTATGCCAACACAATCTAATTGGGTACCAAGAAAATTCCTTTGCGTTTTCTAATGTTGCTAGCAGCTTTGTGCTAGTGCAGAGGAGTGCCTAGGCAGAGCTGGTAGCAGACGGAGGCCCAACCTCAAATAATGTACTCTCATATATAAACCTACAGTCCTCTGAAATCCTTCCAGTCATAAATGTTTGTTGCAGTCTTATGTGGGTGTATGCTTTTATCGTTCATTAACATTTTGTAAAAATCATCATACAGGTGTGAAACAGGAGGATGGACATCAGCTTCCAGGTAGAGTAAGAATTGTACCGCATCAAATGAAAGGATGAGGCTTTTAGCCAGCAAGCTTTGGTCAAATCAGGGTTGAACTGATGATTAAAATAACTGTCTATGAATCAGTCCAGTTAAATTAAAGATTAATATCAAATCAACAGGATTGTTTGTGGCAAACAATTAAGTGTGCACGCATTGTTGGTGTTGCAAATTTTAATGTTAAGCTTGAGTAATCAGTTATTCTCCAGCAGTAAATTACAGTTTATTAAATGTTGAAATGCATGATTTGCTGTTAGCAGTTCATGCTGTGCTGGTTAGTATGAGTATCCAAATGGAATAAAAAATAAGCATGAGTAACCAAAACAGTTTAAGTTATTACCATCACAGCAATCAAATTTGCAATTGAAATTTTCATGAATGTGGTTGCACAGGGTATGATTTTAAATCCTGTGTGCTGTTTATTTTCTTCTCCCAATTTACCATTTGTAAATAAAACGTGACCATTTTTGTTGAATAACAAACCAGTACAGTGTGAAACAGTCGCTATGGGTCAAGTCCTGAGGAAGTTCAGGATTCTCAATCAGGATTCATTGTAGGACTTCTGTGTTCTATTGTGAAGAGTTAACCAACAGAAACAACCCAAAAGTTATTTTCTCTTATTTGTAGAGATTAATTTTCTAAACTCTAGTAGAAAAAAACTATAATAAAATAATAAAACCTTCAAGTTTTCCACCTTCTTATTAGGAAATATTGCTTGACCGATTTCACTAATATGCAGGTCATTGTTGAAAACAAAAAAAGGATTTTTTTTCCTGATACTCTCTTTATTTCACCACAGAACAGGCAATTACATAGTATCAAGTGTTCATTCTCCTCAAGACTATATTTGCCATTTTCACATACAATATTGAAAAGTTTAATGTTTCTACTCAGATCAATGTGCCTGTTAATTAGGTTTAATAACCTAGAGCCCATAGATTGAGCCCATGTTGGACTGAGATGGATCAGCAATTGTACATCATAATATACAACTTTACATAAAATACAAAATACATAATTTTGTATATACTATGTAGTAAGCTGCAAATTCCAAAACTACTCCTTCATTGTGTAAATTCATTAGCTCAAGGGAAATATTTCAACTAGTTTAATATTTGCATAACATTATCTCAAAGTAAAAAAAATTACACATAAAAGGACCAAAGCCATAGTACTGTGTACAGTCAGTTCTCACCAACTCTTTAACTTTGTTAAATGTTTTTCATATTAATTTATTATTATTATTTATTTTTCCATGTCTGAGTTTTTGCCTTATTTTGTAGCACCTTTGTAATGACATTTTGCTTTTGCAAGTTATGTTAATTAATTTTAAAAGATTGATTTTGGAGAAAAAGCCATAATATTCCATATTTTTTTTGTTTTGTCGTGTGCATTTGTTCATGTTGTTGTTATGATTATTATTATTTATTGCCTTTTTTTTTATCCATTGTTACTCAGTAGATTCTTCCCATCCCTCCTCCCACCCTCCTTCAGCTACAGATGGTGCAGCAGGTGCAAATGCCACTGATAATGCAAATGCCAGCTTAGTCAATGGTACGTCAAGAACACCTAGCTCATTTGATTTGATAGCTTTCTCTCCTGACTACGTAAGATTCCCTCTTCCTTTTACGAACTGCACACATGTTGTACGTGCATGTCATTACCCTCTGAGAGATCCTACTCCATAAACTGTAGTAGCTTATGAGATGCCACAAAGATGCTGCGACTTATTTACTTATTCACACAGAATTAAGCATGGGAGAGGAAGAAGTAGAAATTATTATCTATTTGCCATTAATTAAAACTTTTTGAGTTGTCTTTATGTGAAGTTTCATTGTAAAGCTCTTCTTTACACATTTTTCAGCATAGATCTGAAGAATTCCATGATAAATGGATTATATCTTCTTTCCTTCTCATGTGGCACTCTCATAAGTGTTCATATAGTCTACATGTAGTTCTGAGAAATAGTGCTGGGGTCAGGAGTCTGGCTCAATTTCAGCTAACAATGCTTTAGGAATAACTTTTGCTACTTTGAGCATCTTTTTTGGAAGAAACTGACTGAAAAATTATGTTTGTTGATGTTTGTGTATGCCCTTAGATAGTGATCATCTAATGAGCCTGCCTGTATTTACTAAAAAGAAAAAAAAAATTAAAAGTTACTGTAGTCATTTTTGACTGTTTCTTAGTACAGATTCTTGACCCCACTTTGTAGCATGCAGATATTTCAGTATCTCTTCTAATAGTCTAATTCCAGTATTAAATGGAATAGGTCAATATTAGTCTAGGAATCAGCTGTATTTTTCTTATCATGCAATACATTAGTCTTTATTTGCCGTAGAAAACTTTCCCTCTTGGCTTCCCTCTTGTACAGCACCAATAATACTGACAAAAATAATTCTAATTCTCACTGTGTTAGTGATAGAAATTTTTTTCCATGCAGGTCAGTAGTTGTTGCATTATGCATGTGAAACTGGAGTTTCTGACGTAGCAACGCCAACTACTAAACAAGTACTAAGATTTGCTAGTGTAATATCTTATTTAAAGCAATAGGAAATCTTTGAGCCTATTTTTAAATGATTTTATTACAATTTAGAAGAAACATGTAACCAGATTTAAAATTTTACTCCTGCCCATTCCAAGTTTGCTGGAAAACTAGGATTTACAGTCCCTACCTCTCACTGCACGACAGGAACCTCTATCACCTTGGTTCCAACACCCCAATTTCAGATTCCTTAGAGACATAAGAACTGGGAGATTAATGATGAGTGTTTCATTCTCCATTCTTTATGCTCTATAATTCTACTCTGTTGTATGTAAAATAAACATGTGCATACAACAAAGTCTTACCAGATACCCTCCTTCAGTCCTGCTGGAGACTCCAGTATGACATCTATGCTCAGTCCTGCAAGTTGCTGAGTACTAAGTTAAGCATCTGCTGAAGTGCTGTGATGGATGGGAGCCACTGCTCAGCAAGATGCAGAACTGAGTCCGAAATTGTTCTAACCTGGTCTCTCTGTTAGCAAGTTTTAGTTGCCTGGTAAATATCTGTTGTGTTTGGTGTAATGTCTGAATTTTGAATTTAATATGTAAATTGAGTCCCGAGGGATATTAAATCCGTGTCTTAAGTAAGTATGTGATTTCTCATCATCTTCTCTCCCATCAGAAACAAGTTACTGTCCCTCCTTATCCTGGATTTGAGAGATACTCAATTCTTTTCAGCGCAGGAAGTGTAGAAGTCAGTTTTTTGTGCAGCTGAATAAGTTTTTGCTTTTAACTGAGGTGAGGCAGTTGAATTAATTCTGCAGATCTTTGATCAACGTAGAAAGGAGATAATTTCCACAATTCAGCTTACCTGAGAGGAGGACGTAGACTTGGCAAGTAGAGTTAGATCCGAGTGCTTTGAACACGTCTGCTAAATTGCCAAAGTCTGATTTCTGTTTATACTCTACATTTTTCTAGTCAGCAGTGACAATGACTTAGAGAATATTTAAAATGTAGATATGTTTTGAAGGTGAGAAAGGAAGGAAAAAAATAAGTTCTAAAGCAAGGAGACTAAGTTTATGTAGATATTTTTTCAGTCTGGATGAAATGCATTTTTTCAGTAATGTCTGAGAATTCTCCCTGAGGTGTGACTGGAAACAAGCATTTTTTCCTAAAGTCTAGTACCTCTGTGTAGAAAGAAAAAAGAAAATTTTCTTTTAAAAAAAGAAAAAAATATTACAGAATTGAATAGCTCAGGAAATGCTATTGCTTGTTACTTGAAAATCAACTCATTACCATTTCAAATAAAATACTGTTATTGTCTTAGTTACAAGTTAAGGTTATGAGCAGATCAGAAAATGTTACAGAAAGGTAGCAATTCCTGGAAATTCATCTAATTTTCAGGTACTGTATTTAGAAAAGGTAAATTTTTAAAAAGAAAATATGGGAAGCAGCAATCCCTATTTATAGGTTGTTCACCCCCAAATTTGATTTCCTTAGAGGAAGGAGTGCTTATTGTCCAGTAGAGCACTACTCGATTCCTAAATCAGGATTTCCATGTTGGGTTTCTTTTGGCATTTGGTACTCTGAGAATTTGTTACTTAAAAATATATTCTGCTATAGAAACACCATAGCAGACTCAGAGCGATGTCTCAGCTGAAATACTTCACATCTCCTGTTAATTCTGTCAGTTCTGGCATATGTACCCTACTCTTCAATTCTTGCAAAGTAATTTGCAGTTTCAATATGTTTTAAATTATTTTCTGAATTGTACATGAGATTATTTAGGGAGGTCATAGAAAAATTATCTCAATCTTCCTATTTGATACAGTGGAATCAGATTTACTGTTTTGTAGTTAACCTGTGTTTTACTAATGCATTGGCTCTGATATCACACTGCATGAAAGAATTCCTAGTGATTCACTTCAGATACGTTTGGTGTCACTTTTCCCCCCTGTATAGATTTGCAATGTGCATCTGTTCTTACTGGCTGCAGAATATAACGGGCTTGGCATGTAGAGGGCTGTAACTCATTTCTATGGCAAGATGAGACATTTTGGAAAGTCAGTAGGGTATTTTGCTCCATCACAGCACATGAGAACATAACCCTTATTACTGGCTTTGGCTGATTCTAAGCAGTTCCTCCAATGAACATGTAATTTCTAATGCCAGCGTTAGGGCTTTGTTATTCTGTCTCACTGACTCGTCATAAACAGCTGGGGGAAAGCTTCTTGGAAAGTTTTATTTGAAGATTTTGGGGTAAGAACTTTGGCAGTAGTGGTGCCATGGGTATGTTCCAAGAGCTGGAAACTTTATAAGGCAAAGGCAAGATGCAAAGCATTTTATATGCAAATTCAAAACCTTCAAAGCAACTGCAGGATACAGCTCGTATTAGGAGGCTCTGTATTCTTTTCTAAACATTCTGAATTTTCATCTTTGCTTAGAAAAGTGGTAAAAAATACACTCAGGTTAATTTCTTCAGATTCAAGACGCAAACGTTGTTCCTTTTACATACTTATTTCCAAAAAAAGAAGAGAATAAAAATATTGCAAAATTATGTAAAAATATATTATCCTTTTGAAGAATTATAGATAAAATGCTATCAAAATATTAACAAATGCTTATCCTTTTAATGTTTCTAACCAATGCACAAAGGTCAGAAAGATGGGATAGTATTTCTGGTCCTAGCAGTAACTATAAGGATAAGGGATTTCTCAGCAGTAGTGATTCTATTGTCTTAATTTCTTTCTTTGTTCATAATGGATAGCCAACTGCAGGCTTAAAAATATTTGGAACAGGAAGAAAGTAATCCTTTACAGCATTCTTTTCTTCATCATAGTTACATAAATTACCTATTATTTGTTATTCTAAATAATTGTAATATAATTAGCTGTGATTACTTCCCCTACCTTGTCCCCCAGTAACCCAAGTGCAGTAGCTGCTGAGGTTAAGAATGTATTTCTTAAATCCTTACATTTACATTGTTGTTAATGATTGTCCAGTTTGGGTATTGGTATTTTTAGGTAGCCAGGGTAGGTGACTTGTTAGTGTAATTCATTATGACAAGCCTGATACCTCTATTAAATAGCAAATATATATATCATAAAGGTAAATCCTTTGAGTCACACAGAAAAATAATGGGTTTGTGTTGCCCGTTATGAAAGTCATGGTTTGAGGGGTTCTTGTTGGGTTTTTTGTTTGTTTGTTTGGGGTTTTTTTCAAGTTGAAGAATCTTCAATTATACTGCTTTAAGGTTTTTAATTGTTTTCTGAAAAAGGAACTATAGAGCAGGACATAGAGCAGACTGTCTGCTCTAAATTAATGTTTTCTAGTTCTTATAGAAGGCTTTATCCTCTAGCCAGAAATCAGAATCTCTAGAGATGTTTTATGTCTTCCACCAACTTTATTAAAAACCATTCTAAGAAAAACAGCCATTAGGCAGATAGCAAGTTCAACTACACAGTGGATGCAAAAATTCTTAAGCAGATTTCACAATGAAAATGAACTTGGTTTTGTTCAGGTTCATAGATTCAGGTCCCGTGGCAAAACATAAGTTTTTGGAAGAAAAGATACAACTTTTTGAAAAGTCATGTTATAGCTAAGGTGGGAATAGGGTTAGAAATGCAGAGAAGTAGGTGCTGCTGGATGATTCACTTCAGCATCCTTTAGTGGTCCATCTGAGTACCGAGGTGATGATACCTAGTGGAACATCCCTTCCTTTGCTGTAATTCTCTGCTGCTGACTTTCTAAGTGCTGGTGCAGCCTATTCGTATGGGGTGAAATGTTCTAGTGATAAATTCCTCACTGATTTGGGCATTTTTGCTTTTTGAGAGGGAAGTTTGTAGTGATCTCCCAATTACTGAAAATACAAACATGCAAGAAATGCATCTCAGCCTTTTAATTTTGTTACTATTTATTCATAGTATAGAGTGAAAAAAAAAAAAATCATATTTTAAAGCATAATTTCTGATGCCTTAGTGTGCACGTCAGTGCCAGCTGTATTACTGTAGGAAGTTGGAAGAGCAGGACTTACCTGCTGTCATCTTTTTTTATAAACTCTAATGATACTTTTCTTATTAGTATGTGTCAAAAACCTTGTAAAGGTGTTTGAACCATTAATTGTCCTTAGCATTAGTTTTTTACTGTGCATTATACATAACTACAAAAAGAGAATGTAATCCATTCTGAATGTAGTGCTTATAAAACTCTAGTAGTCTTTTTTGCAAGATAAATTAATATATAACTGTGAATTTCATAAGGGATTCCAACAAGACTTTTTTAATACGTTTGAAATAATTTACTGGTTATTCTGAATACCAAAATTTTGTACACTCTAATTTGCATTTTGCCATTTTTTTATTTCACATACACTTTTAAATGCTGTATTTTCATTTAAAAAAAAAACAACAAAGTAAGAACTTTGGTATGGTAAGACTATGCATAGCTAAAATACTAAATTGGAACATACAGATGCACTTGGCAAATCTTTCTTTAGGATAAATCTCAATATAGGATGATCACATGACACTGATATTTACAGGAGAAACTTGCTAAATAATACAACTAAGTGAGGAAGATGTAATTTTAAAATAATGTCTGATTTACATTTTTAAATTTACATTTATTAACACTGTTATTTATATTATTTTGTCCTAATTTACAAAACCAATAAATTTAATTCTGGAATGCATTAAGAAAGTCACACTCTATACTGGTGTGTGCCAGCATTACACCTCTGGGTTTTTTAAGTCCCAGCTCTCTAAAATTTAAGTTCAGGAATATTACTCAAATTCTGCTTTCTACTGGATTCTTTTTATTAGTTTCACCCTCTTAATTTATGTGATTTGATCAGAAATACATGCTGATATGTAGTATTTTACATGTTACAGCATTGAACTCGAGTGCAGTTCTTTGAACGTGTCCCTCTCAGTTGTCCGTGCCTCTAAGTAAACATGTGATGACAATGGCTACTGATCATAAAGAAGTATCTGTAACATGCTCATTACTTCTGTCTGCCCTTTTTATTTAAATTCCCATTTTCATGTTCTGTCTTGGGTGAAATTGTTTACTGTCTGTTGTCTGTTGAAATTTTTCATCATATAGGCAAAATGCAGGATGGAAATATGGAGAACAGCCAGAACAAAGGTAATCTTCTTTCATATTAAGGAGGTTGTGGATTTTGTTTTTAGCATGTAGTTAAATTCTATTAAAAAAAAAAAAGAAATGAAAATTTGTGATTTGTGCCTGTGTGTAAAAATTGCCCTGTTGTTCAAAGAGAATTTTTTAAAAATACCAATCAACCAAACCCAACAAAAAAAACCTACAAAAGAAATTGTAACTTAACAGAATTTTGATATATCAAATATTTAGGATAAGAGAAGATCAGTATTTCTAATAAACTATTTGTGGATGATACTTTCATGTCACAAAGTTCATTTGAATTCATTTTCTTGTGCAAGTTCTGTATGCTATGTATTGTTAGTGAATTTCCAACCCTATTTTTGGTATGTCTCATCATCTTTGGTGTTTAATGGCATTGTATGGACATATTTTCATTTGCGGGGAGAAGGTAAAGTGACACAAAAGGCAACTTTAAAGCCAAGAGGTTATTTAGCAATGTAGAAGTGTATTCTAAGGATAAATAATAGGGAGGTTAAGAATCTCAGGAGTTTCTTATTTAGTTTACACTCTCAGGAAGAAATTGAAATAAATATTTTGCTTTCTCTGAAGCAAAGTCATAGTTCCCTTTTTATTATATGAAACACAGCTGTCATGATTTCTTTGGGTTATGCTGAATAAGTAAAGTAAACTATAACTTCCTCTTCTCAGATAATTCTATAGATTGCAAAGGTGGTAGATCAGAAAGTGAATAAACTCAGTTGTTAATGGTACAAAACTATTAAGTAATATTATATTAAATTAATATGTTTTGAGGTTAGATAGATAGACAAATTAGTTTTCCAGGTCAAATAAGCATGGTTTTGTACAATCTGTTCATGAATGTCAAAGCAAAGCTGCTTCATCTCATTCTATTTAACTTATGTTTGTGTTCAATACAAAACCAACACATACACATATATAAACTGGAATGTCATTGCTTTTAAAAAACATGTCTTTCTCTTAAAAATTTCCTTGCATTAGCATTCTTTCAAGAAAGGATGGTTTAGCCTTTAAATTATAAGGCTTTTTATGGGAGAATGATGATGGTAACACCATCTGACCTGATGGTTAAGTTACTTGAATACTGAATGCTAGGGAAACTTTTTAAGTCTGGTATTATCTAGAATAGTGGTTCACAAACTGTGGTCCACTGGTCACTGAGGTGCCCATGCAGTCAAGAGAAGTGGCGCACGCATCATCTGTGGAACCACAGTGCCTTTAAAACGTTGTCATTAGAAGTATGATTATAAGGGTGCATTGTGATCTGAGACAAACCAAAATATAGAGATATCTAGACTGTCTACTTGCCAAAGCATTTGAGATCTGCTATTCTAGGAAATCCTGCAGTGCTGATGTACTGTTACTTGCCAAGTAATTTGCAAGACATTAAGTGATATATATGTGTATAACACAGAGTGTCATTGGTGGCTTTAAAAAAGAAAGAATAAGTAAAAGAATAAGTAAAAATCAATGGTTTTCATGTACTTGACAAACAGCATATTACATACACCATTACATTACGTACGTATGGAGTGCACATGGGTATGCTTGTACATTTGTGCCCCTGCAGAACCCCACTGGGTCTCCTAGGGGCACCTGTCTGCCGTGGGGGTGAAGGGTAATTCTGTGCAGTGCCAAACATGTGTGGCAATCAGCCCCTGCCACCAGTGTTGAATGGTTGCTGGTTGAATTCAGTAAGTATCAACACTAAGATAAAAAGAATGAAGAATAGTTTTGGAGTAACAGTTTTGTTCTGCGTTATTAGCCAAGCAGCAGGATGGGGCTGCTGCCATGGAGATGCAGCCACTGAAGAGTGCAGAAGGGGGAGAAGGAGATGACAAAGATAAGAAGAAATCCAACATGCACAAGAAAGAAAAATCTGTTCTTCAGGGAAAGCTGACCAAGCTGGCAGTCCAGATAGGCAAAGCAGGTATGACTGGGTAACTGACCGAAGAGTGGTGTGTTATGCTAGCAACAAAGACTTTGAAAACAAATTATTCTTAAAAAGGATAGCCCTTTCTTACTGCAGTGTTTAGAAATGGGTCATCATAATACCGTTCCAAGGATAGTATGTGGTATTGAAGATCTTTTATTCTTCTAAAACTCAGCTTTGACTGTCAAGAAACTGGGAGCTCTGGGCAACTTGGATGGTAATGAATATTTGAATCAAAATGAAATGTAGTTTTTCTCATGGGCAATACTCCCAAGTGCAGTAATTATATATTTAATTCGCTCTCACCTTAGAACTTCTGAGTACACAGTTTCAGAAGCTCTAGTATAATCTCAAAATCACACAGTATTTCCCTCTTATGGATTCTGAAATCATTCTGTCCTCTCTTAATAACCATATTCCTGCCTTCCACCCAAATATGACACAGCTGTTGACTCTTGTACCCAGCACCATCTGGTCCCTACTGTTAGAAGTAGCACCTCTTCTCCAATATGTAGCTAGAAAGTGAAAATCTTTCATAATCACATAATGTTCATTAGGTTCATTTTTCTAGTGTTATTAAGGAGATCTTGGTATCTGTCCAGATCCTTGGCTGAGGCCCTACAACAGATTTCTAGCTTTACCTCTGTTCAATCTCCTTTATCCTTCTTTACCAGTCTGATTTATACCCCTGCTGTTCCTTCTCATTCCTTTCTAAATTCATTGCACTTAGCTGATCACATAACCCCAGGATGCCACTTCTGTTTTTTTGCCTGAACAGTGCGTGACTCAGAATCTCTGCTTATCATCTCTTCAATATCCAGTTTCATGCTTTGCCCAGTTTCATATTCCTCAAGCTTCTCTGCTTTGTTGCCAGTTGTACAACAGTAGTATGCATTGATACAAAACCACTTCATTTCTCATGATCCCTGATTTCTTAGATTAAGTACCTTTCTGCATTGTCTTCTGATGATTGCTCTCTTTGGTATTTCGCCAGCCATATGAATATCACTTTTAAAGTAATTGTATAGGGCTTTCTAACCCTAATGTGGACAGTAATATGAATTAAACTAATTAATCATTGCCTCATTTGTTTTTTCTTTGTCTTCGGGCAATCTATGGGGATGTCTTGCATTGTCATGAGTATTTGCCTGTACAATGTTTTAATGGATTTTCCTTTATCCTCTGGCATTTAGTGGTCTCCCCAACTCATCTGTTTCCTGTCAACCTTCACATCCTTCAGCTTACCAACTTTTTTTTTTTTTTTTAAACTTCTGTCAAGACATGAAATTCACAGCCTTCTGCTTCTACTGTATGGTCTCATTAGAGAGAAATTAATTTATTTTGAAATGCAGGCTTAACTGTTTCATAGAAACCTGCCAAAGAACAACAATCATAGCAAGGCAAATAGATGTTCTAATGGAGTTTTTATTTGGATACTCAAATCCAGAAACAAGACTGTGGAGGAGGAGAGTTGTCTTAGCAAAGTCTGTGTCATTGGGAGAGCATATTCAGTCTGGGATCTTTTGCTGGATTCTGTGAAATATTTATTAGTATCTCTTGTGCTATACTGTCAGTGTTGTACATCTTTTGAGCTTCTCCTCATAAAAAATAGGCACTGTTTGCATATGTCCCTTTGAAAGGGAAAACCTTGGAAACACTAGTATTTATTACATTTTCAAGAAAAACAATTAAAAACTGCTCTGTGGATGATTCTGCATTATTACCTCATTGTATTCAGCCAGACACATCAGTCGGGCTTTTCTAAAATGTTTTATACAGCAACATAAACTACAGGAGACTCCTTTTCCCAAGCCTCTCAAGATAAGCTTATTTAACAGAAAGATGAGTGTTTGGATATGGATAGACCAGTAATTTGTAAATGATGGAGGTTAAATGGACAGATAAATTTTGTACCAGGAAAAGTAATGTACTAAATTGAAAAATTTAGCTTAAGCAACAGCAGAACTCGTGTTGAACTAGACTGACTGAGAAGTTTTAAAGGCAGCAGTAAGATGGTGCTTAAAAATTAATGCACTGTGATTCAGCTATTCTGTAGAATTTGGTGAATATATAGCTGTTGTAAATGTATTATAGTAATGTTTTTTTCTAGATTGTAAAATTTACCATTGATGTCATTATTGGTACTGGAGAAAAATGTCATGTAGGATAAGAAAATAATTTCCTATCCAATTCAAATCTTAAATTGCTAATTGTGCATGTTTTTAATTGTGTTTTGTTTTATGGTAATTGATGATTTTTGTTTTCAGGTTTGGTGATGTCTGCCATCACTGTAATCATTTTGGTACTATATTTTGCCATTGACACATTTGTGGTCAACAAGAAACAGTGGTTGCCTGAGTGCACTCCTGTCTATGTTCAGTATTTTGTTAAATTCTTCATTATTGGTGTTACTGTACTTGTGGTTGCTGTTCCTGAGGGACTTCCACTCGCTGTCACTATTTCTCTGGCTTACTCTGTAAAGGTAAGAAACACTAAACATAATCATGGGAGAAAAATGCTGTTCAGTTGATTTTGCTAGTAACTTATTCTTCGGGTTTTATCAGATGTGATTAAAGTCAGCCTGCAAATTAGTGTGTGCAAAATGTTAGTGAGAGTTAAACTGTGCTTTATATGGAAAGCATTTCTGACAAAAATGCAAATGCATGTGTATTCTAATTCATACCTTTAAAACTACACAGTGCAGGAATATCGAACAATAGAAATAGCTACTTATTTTCAGATGTTACCAGGAATTTATTGAGCAGAATTTACTATGAGAATAGTTCAGTCTTTTGATACAGAATAACTTCGTCTTCAAATTTTCTTGTGCAGTACAGAGTCCTGAGATGGATTTGAAGTCTTCAGGAACACATTCTAAAGGAATTAAGAGTTTCACTGGAGCTTTCTTGTATTTTCATAAATGCAATTGGTGTTGTCTGTAGCCAATGTAAACGATTCTACTAGGAAATTAAAGAGGATTAAAATCCTGGACTTGTGGATTACTCCATTATCCATCTAGGAGTTTTCTCAGATTGTTTTAGCAATTTAGTCAGATGGGCCTTATGTAAACATTCTGGGAAGCCTAGATGAAGATTTTGTAAAGTTTATTTCCGTTTAATGTGTAAACAAGTTAACATATGAATGTTAGGAAGGAATAGCTTAATTTATATGTTGCCAAACTTCATTATTATTAGGAAAAAAGAGCACATCTCAAGCATGAGATTTTACTGATAAAGACTGTAGCTGCTTTAAAAAATACTTTCCCGTTCTCCTGGTGTCCTTCACCCGACATGTGTATCTATAACTGTAGTATCAAGCTGCAATACAGCTTTGTGTACAACTGTTCATGTTGTGCCCCATAAGACAGTGTCTGAAAGTAAGGGTCAGGTGGTTGGGCACGGAATTTTTTTAATATTAAAAACATATAAACAAGGATAACATGTATGTCGAGGATGACTGTGCATCTTGTGAAAAATATGCACTGTGGAATGAAGTATTCTGTTGGCTTTTTGTGGGCGTGGAGTCTTTTTTTTTTTTTTGGTTAGTTTCTTTCTTTGCCAAAATGTACAGTCCCTCTATGTGCTGCAAGGTAACACCCTGGCATTGGAAAGAGTATTAAAAAGAAGTCTAATATTTGCTACAATTACGCTGTTTTAAAAATCCTGTTACCTTCAGTTTCTATAGCTAATCTTTGCTGTTCTAGCTATTCCTTAAAATGTATATGTACTGCAAAAAATGATGCAATTATATCTGTCTATCAAAGGTAAAATTATTTCAGGGATGGTCACTGCTTGGTTGTCTGTAACTAGGGGCAAGTTATTGTCCCTGATTAAAGCTCTGGTTTAGTGAGCATTTTGTTCTACTGAACAAGACTAAATAGGTGCTTTTTTGCTTTTTATAACTGATATTAAAAATCTGTCAAAGCAAATCTTGAAGGTTTTTTTTACTTTGCTTTTTTTTTTTTCTCAGAAAATGATGAAGGATAACAATCTGGTCCGGCACTTAGATGCTTGTGAAACTATGGGTAACGCTACAGCCATCTGCTCTGACAAAACAGGGACGCTAACAACCAACCGGATGACCGTGGTCCAAGCCTACGTTGGTGATGTCCACTACAAAGAGATCCCTGACCCAGACTCTGTACCCACCAAAACGCTCGATTTGCTGGTTAACGCAATTGCTATCAACAGTGCGTACACCACAAAAATTCTGGTAAGGAGGCTTTTTCTGTCAATGAAATGAAACGTAGGAGAAGGAGTTGTGATTTTTTTTTTAAGCATTGTTAATTCCTTAACATCTTGTTGTTGATTATGAAGCCTTAAGTACCGCTGAGGTCCTTGAAATGAGAACAGGTGCTGTGAAAACGATGTATTTGTGAAAATTTCACAAAAACTAAAACCCAGGACAGTATTTTAGGTTTTTCTTTTAAGGGTAGGGGTGTACTTGTAAGTACAAGACCATGCTACATTTTAACAACCCCTGCTGCTGTTAGATTGGGATGGCCCGTTTTCGGTGCAGGTAAACTTGCTGACACAACTAGTTTTCACTGAGACTTCATATATTTAAAATTATTTTTCTGTGTCTAATAATCTTCAGTTAATTCTCAAACAGGACAAATTGGATTGGTTAAATCAGTGAGGTTAATGATCTTCATTCTGGTTTCAAGTGAATTACATCCAGAAGTATTTTATTCAGTCTGGCAAAATGGAAATATCATGTTCACTTGTGGCATTAGATCTTCTGTTCAGAGCTAGTTAAGAGACTGAAAACTTTTGCAATTCCAATAGATTTGTTCTTTGAAAGGTCAAGCTTAATTGCAGAACAAATACATTTTTTTGAGTTTATGAATTTATGTATTGTCCTTTTTATAGCTCTGTGCTGAGCTGTGTAATAGTCTTGCGTGCAGTTCACGTTTGTTTTAAAAGTAATTTCTTAAAATACAATCACAGAAAATGATTGGTGAAATACTACTGAGTGCTGGAACATATATTTTGTTTAATTCTTGCTATGTAAATATCTGGATATTAGTAATAATCGACACTTAGAAGAAGAACGTTTAGAGAAACCTGACACAGATATGCAAAGGTGTTTTTGAAATGAATGCTTCTGAGGGTTGTTTAGCCAGGGTCAGTGTCTGAAGTCAAGCCACAGCTTAGGCACCCTTTGGACATTCGTCTGTGCTGTGATGTGCTCACTCTTCTGTTCTCACTGAAAGCTCTCTGGAAAGGGAAATGTGGGGAGAACCAGCCCCTGAGGCAGCTTCAGCCACTTCCTACATCAGGAGTGGCCAGGGACTCACACAAAGCCTCCATCAGCTCACAAAGATCCTGTTAGTTGCCACCTTGAGCTGAAATCAGCCAGCAACGCGAGTGCAGCTCTGCTGTTACACTGTATGGCCAAATAGCTCTAGTCAGCTCAGGCTGGAGTGAGTCCTCTGGACTTTGAACTCAGATACCCTGGAAAAGCAGAGCTCACTCAGCTACGCTCTGGTGTCAGCTGTAAGCTTCCAACTAACAGCACCGGTTCCCAGCTGAATCCTGGATATCTTTTTTCTATGGTCTGTTGAGGTCAGAATCAACCAGGTTAGCTGAAAGGAAGGATGGGCCTTCCATCCTCAGGAGGTTCAGTGTAAGTGCTCAGTGGGGATATTTTATGGCAGTGGCTTTTTGGCATCTAATTTGTGTATTTGTAAATTAGTGAGAATATTTTACTATTGTTGGGTAAATCGTGCTTTCACGAATCAGTATAACATTTGATTGTTGGGGAGAGGAACATACATCTTGGTAATTTTAATGCTGTTACAGCCTGAGTCAGGTCTTTTTCTCTAAGAAAGAAAAATAGAATCTAACTCACGCTCAACATCAACACACAGGCTGGGATTAAGACAAGGCAATACAGACAAACTGGGATAAAGGATAGCAGGTGGCTTTGTGTTTGTATAACTGCTGCAGTGGTAATCCTGGTCACTGGCGTCAGTCCCAGCTGATGACTTTGGGAGAGCTTTTAACGTTACCAACATTGGCAAAATTTTCCTCATTCCTAGGAAATAACGCAGAGAAGGGCAGGCAGCTTGGTTGGTAGTTAAGTCAGGTGTAACTGGCAGAGCAAGACTCAGTGCCAGCAGTGCTGCTTTTGTTTTATATTTTGCTGTTAATTTTAAATGCTTGAGACCAAACACAGTAACAAAGTATTTCTGTTCAGCTTCCGTACCATTTCACCCTCTCTGAATCTTGGAATACTTTTAGGTTTCTGAGTGAGGCATGGGAAGGCATCAGACTTTCCAGAGTGATGCATCTGTAATATTAAGTTTCATGTTCTGTCTCTGTCTTGTGGTAATAGTTTCATTTGACTGAAAAATTTCTGATCAATATTAGTTCTAAAATTTCACTTTGGTCTCAATATAATTTTGATTTATTTTGTTTTTAATCTGGCTTGACTTCATTGCTCCTTGTTGAAATCAATTATGTGTGCCTATTAAAAAGTCAATGTTTCACCATTTCAGTTCTTTATTAGCTTTGCACAGAGACTGATTCTAAAATTGATAAATGGGTGAAATCCTTTGGAAATCACCTTTGTTCTGGATGCATATCGGACAACTACTTGAACTGATCTGTGCAAAATTAATGGTGATTTTTTTAGCTATTATAACAGCATCATAAGATCATGCCTGGTGGCATGGAGCCCATGAGAACAGCATCTCCTGTGTCAGAGGAGTTCGTTTTGTTCATTGTTTATAACAAGCTTAAGCTAAAGCTTAACAACAAGGTATAGTTCCATAGCCCTCGTTCATTTTAAATCATAAATAAATACAGTAAAAAATACGTAAGGGAGCTGTTTCCAGGATGAAGCACACAGAATTATTTTTCTAGCTGCTAATAATGAATGCGTACTTGTGCACTCACTCTTAGAGCATACTTAATCAAATTGTGAATATCAGCTCAAACCCAAAGGGCATATGAGCGTTACGTCACTAAGATGAAATTTTACATATTCTATTTTTAGTTATCTAGTTATGCATATGCTGTGAATTGTGCTTTGTATGAACTTCTGTTCAGAGTGATCACATACGGGACCATAAAATTAGTCAAGATGCTCTGCTGAATGAGAAATATTCCCTCTTGCATTGTCTTTTGATTAAGGGGCAATTGAACCATTGATACAAATATAAAAAGAAAATCATATCACTGCTAGGGATAAAGGATTTTAATTTCCCTGAGAAATTAAATACAAATTATTCCAACTGAACAATAGGATCATTAAATATAGTTGTTTTTAATGATTTCCAAGGATTAAGTTGCTGGGTGAGCTGATTTTGCATTCTGTTAGCTTCAGAGCAACTTTAATGCTGGTTTTATGCTGTTTATGTGAAGCTGTTCTCCAGAAAACCTTTCTTTTCTTGTGTTCATGTTTTAGATAGCTTTCCCACATGGAAGTAAACATTAGACTTCATGCTTTTTCATGTGAGCTGTGATGAGGACTGCAAAGCATCTCTTCCTCTGAAAACAAAATTTGCATTTTGGGAGTACTTTGCACTTGGGGCAGAAGTACATTGATCTTGACTGTTGTGGAGCAAAAATGAAATACAGACTCCAAATACCAGAACTAGTGATTTGTACTCTTCTGTTGGGCTCTTGCTTGCATAAATTGAGTTTTCATTAGAAAAGTATTTCTTTTTCTTCTAATGTCCGGAAAACTGTCAAAGGGCATAGATGCCATGCTTGCTGGATGGGTGTAACGTGTTCTTATTAAGATGAGATCACAATTAGTATTTAGTTGAGTGATTTTCAGCAGTGGTGGAAAAGACCCAGCTGAACGCGGTGTTGTTAGGATCTACCACAGGCATTTCATTTGGTACTTGATAGGTGCTTAGGGAGCAAAAAAGCTACTTCTGCCTATATGAGGTGGATATCTGGGTCTGCACCAGGAGGACTGTTTTCAGTTCTGACAATCTGGAGTATCCTTTACTGCATTTACACAGGGTGTGGCACAATGTAGTGACATCCTTTAACCAAGGGTCTCAAAGGAAAAAAGACAGAGATGAGACAGAACAGTGCAAAACATTCACTCCCTTCTGCAGCTTCTGCCAACTTAGGAAATGAAGTAAACATGCGTCAGTCTATATGTTAGTCAAGTAATGAATGTGACCTTGTAAAGCTTTGGGAGCAAAAAGGCCTCTATTGGATCAAACCAAAAGGAGTGAATGAAGGAAAAAAAGAAAGATAAAAATAATGTAGACAATATTACTGCAGCCAGAACAGAGAAAGCAATGTTTCCTGTCTATCACGTGGCAGAACAATGCCTGCATAAGACACTATAACATCTGTCTTAAGAAAACAGTGGAAGTTGCCAAGGTTGCTGCCAGCACCCAAATTCCAGCCACGTTCCTACCACAGCCCTAGATGAAGGGTCTTCCCTGTATGTGCAAGCAGACCTCTCCTCACAGGGCTGCAGAGGTGGCTTGGAGGGCCCCAAATAACCCCAGCAGGGAGGAACAGGGATTCCACCGAGTTTTCTTAGGGGGAGAACAATGGTTCCCCTCCATGGGACGCCGAGGACGTGGGCTGGCTGCAGGGGCAGCTGGTGCACAGCAGTAGGGTGGAGCTGCTACAAAGCCTCAGCTGTTCACATTTACTAGGAGAGAAAGGAAAGTGTTAATTCTCCTTTCTGCCTTTGTGTAATTACTATTTCCTGAATGTATAATGAAAGATCTTATTAAAATAAGTGTAACAAAATTTCTAACTTCTTTATTCTGAAAGCAGTTCAAGAGTTTAAGGCACAGAATTTTATTGTTATGAATAAATAGTTCTTTGGACTGATTATCTGATGCAGAATACTGCAATGAATGCACTTCATACTTAATTGGAGGAAAGGGGTGGAGGGAGACTGGCAGAGCAGGGAGGAAACCTATAATATATAAGAACCAGAAGAAGAAATTACATTCTACAGAAGTGAAATAGTAAAAGTAATGGAAAACAAGATTTTAGCACAGCAGCTGCTTTGCAGGTTTAGATTAAAATATACTGTGGGTATTGAGAACATGGATGTAGAAGCCAGGTGAAGGGTTCTTTTTATTTGTGAGGAATATGTTTGCATCCAAAAGAAGTAGAGCTGTCTGGGTTGTTGGGAGACATAGTGTTCTTGTCAGAAATGGTCTTTAAAACGGTGTGCAAAGTACAAAATATGCTTCCCCCTACAGATTTTTTTTTTTTTTT